TTTCAGGACTTTCAGAAATGTTAACTTTTTCTCCCCCATCTAGGAAAATGCTACAAAGCTCAAATTAGTTAGGAATGAGTTACACATTTTGTTTGGAACACTTAAAAGATGCTTTTCAGATATTTATATTACTATATTCCTACTTGGATGCTTTGAATGACTACAAACAATTCTGCACCTATACCCTCTGGTATTGCTTTTAACCTTCCTGAAATCCATTTTCTAAAAAATAAAGACATTTTCAGATCTGAGAGCTACACTTCAATGTCTGTGGTTATAATTCTGAACAGGAAATAAGCTAAACTTAATGTAGGAAAATGTAGAAACTTTTGTCTGGATTTAGACTTCTACACTGAAACACACTGACATGTGGCTGGAACAAAATGTACAAATACATAAAGTGCGAGACTGATTTTGTGTCAAGAATGTACACCTTTTAGGAATATTTTGTTTTCTGTATAGGACCATGTTAGTCTGTTGTCTTTCCCCACCTTCTGATGTTAGAAAGATCCAGTAGTTGAGAACATGACTTCTAGGAACATTTTTACTAACTTGAAATCTTGATTTAGTAAATGGGAATGTGTGGGTTTTGTCCATGGTAGTTTTTATTGGGAAACATTCAGCTTAGTCAATAAAAAAACCCAATAGGGCACTTAAAGCCACAAAACAAAATCAGGGAAACATCCCATGTTTAGATCTTGTTCTAGTTAGTAAAGCGAAATTGACTTTCTCATTAAGTAAGCCAAATTCTTTAACATACTGCATGTACCCCCTTGACTGGCTTGTATTCATATCATGGGTGGTAATCTCAGGAAATGAGGTGACAGTGACACTCCTAGCAGCTCAATGACTAAGTAGAATGTAAGATGTATAGTACTGTTTGAATTGAACCCCACTACCAATTCTTTAAAATACCTTGAATTCTTATATGAAAATGATTTATTGGGAGTGTTCCAGTGTAATTTCAAAACTTATGTACCAAGGTAAAGCCTTACTTTGTATGCTTTAGCACAAACATATTCTTGCCTCTGGGATGCTATTTAGTTTGTATTTTAACTTTTTTTTTCCTCATAGGAGGAGAAATCTATGGCTTCTGTACGTCTAGGTCATTTATTGTATTACAAAGCTGCTCTTCCAGCATTAGAGCTCTATATGAATGTCATCTTTTGGGATATACAATTTAGCTGTTAGCCATATGAGCCATGTTTCTTATGGTGCTAATGTTTCAATAGCTACCTTCCAATTATTTCCCCATTTCTGTGATGCTGTGCTTGTGGCAGAACTTAGCAGTTCATGCCTGGACATGGTACGGAGCTTGGGCCCTTCAGCTAGCTCCTGTGGGGTTCTGAGTCCATACCTTTCTGGTGGGAATTGTTCCCTGTGAGTGGAGAACTTTGGCGCTTCCTAAGACTTCTTCAGTAGTAGTGATTTCAAACCAATTGTGAGCTCCAGTTCCCTTCCAAAGGAACTGTTGGGAGCATTAATATCAGTGCATGCCCCTGAAATGGCTGGGAGGGACGTGAGCTTGTAAATAGGAAAGCTGTCACTTAAGAAAAAATTGTATTGTTTACCTACTAGCCATGTATCTCTTGAAATCATTTTGTCATGTTTACAATAATGTACTTTTTATTGGTAACATTTAGTTTGATGTTTAAAAATAGTGCCTTTAGTAAATTATTTTACAACCAAAACATGTTGTTTTTTGTTAGATCAATTTAGCAGAATGTAGAAGTCCATGTGAGATGTACAATAAGAAATCTGTAAGTTTCTGTTCACTTTTTAGGTAATAGTTTTAAAGGCATTAAAGGACTAAGTGACATATTTCTTTCCCATGCATATTTTTACATTGAAATTAGTACCGAAACAAGCAACCTATTACAGACAGCAGCTTCTCAAGAATTGTTTTGAAAATTATGTGAAAATCAGTATTATATGAAAATGGATGACCATATCAGATCACACAATGGAAGGCAACTACATTATTATATAACTACCAAACCACTGAGAATCATGGCCCAACCAAGTTAACACTTAGCCATCATGGCCACCATTATGAAAACCTCAGCATTTGTTACTGTTACTGCATAAAACAGACTTCACTATGGTTGTATGTGGGAAATGGCAGATAATGACACAGCGATGAGTGAGTACATCTACTGACTTAAATTCTGTGGCAAGGTAATATAAGTCTTGAAAATACACGATTAGACTAGGTGATTTTGTGTTCACATAGATCTTTAATGAGGTATAATTATGTAACAGTTGAGGTAAAGAGTTGCATAGGTATTAAAGTAAAAGAATGATTGTAAACCTTAGCCATTTTATACTCAAGCTGTATTTTTGGTATAAATGATTTGTACAGCTATATAATCCCATTGCACTTCACTATCAGTTGCCTCAGATGATTTGTTTTCTGAAATTAAAAAAAAAAAACTAGCCAACAGAGGGCCTTTTCTAATTTATACTTAAAGGATATTTAAGATTTCAGTCTGCAAACCAATTTGAGAACAAATGGATCAATGATATAGTTAACACTGAGCTGTTACATATCTCTGATGGACATGAGTTTCTGAATAAGGTGAACAGCAGGACTTTAAAGAGATCTAGTAGGTTTATTAAAGAAGGGCAGAATGGTGTTGTGTTGTTTTCTTTAATAAAATGCAAGTTTAAATCATTTTTAATATCTTTGCAAATGTTGGGCCCAGTATTTGAATATCTAAGAGGCTCATAGTCAATTAGTATTCACACAATCCTAGCAAGAGTAAGGAATCCAGACTTTAGGTAGAAAAAGGAGGTGCTAGACATGTTTGCCCAGCATCCAGTTTTCAACAGTTATCTTTTCTGCCCTATGCAATTTAACACATTTTTATTGGCTTGAACTACAGATTTCAAAATAATATGGTACTAAGTTTTTAAGAGAACTAATCTTAAATGTATAAAATGATCTCATCAAAGTTCACCTGTACTTGTATGGCATCATAATGTATTGTTGGTTAAATTCTAATTTTTATATATGACTGCTTTGTTAGAATTTGGACAGTTTGCTGCCAGACAAAAATCATTAAGTCCCAGCCATCATTTGTCATGTCCATAATATTGACATTCACTTACATGTACCATTTTCATTTGGATACAGTTTGACAGATAAGTAATAATTAAAATGTAATTTTTTTTAAATGACGTAGCCTCGAATTTTAAGTGAACATGGCTGATATGTAGGTGCTGCCTTCATATTATATTTTGACTGTAGTGGTTTTACTCCCTTTAAGGGGCAAAAGTAACTTCAGTATACAAATGGTCTGAAATAAATGCCTTATATTTTTTTTTCTGGTAAGACAATCAGTGGGGGGAAAAAGTGTCTTAATTTTTCCTGTGTAAAAGTAATCTGTATATAAAATAGTTTTAAAAAATAAAGATACAAATGTATATAAAATAAAGCAACCTGAACTAAGGTAGAAAATTGCACAAATTCATGATCTGAACCAATTAAGACATAAGAATATAAAAGAATACCAGTTCGAGGTAAACTCCCATGAACTTTGCAGTTTAGTTACCTCCTGTTGATAACATGTACTTATGTCTCTGTGTAAAAATAGAGCTATGTTGTCACTAGATATATAAAATGTAGAAACATAATGTGCACTGATTCATAGGTTAAAAAAAACAATGAAGCTCAAAATTGTAAACCCTTTTTAAAAAAGTAAATATACAAATCATAATGAAAAAGCCTCACTGTCTTTGGATCAACTAAAGATTTCAGAGGTATCAGCTTCTTCCTTGGGATGTTGGCTACCAGACAGGAACTCCGGATACAAGAGTTTAGCATGTCCGTTCTCAGTAACTCGCTGGGTATAAAACAAGATATAAGCTTGGGCCTTGCAGACTTCATCCATAGTGCACATGCTTAGCTTGGAATCATTGCAGTGTACCCAGAACCCTAGAATGAAGCACAGAAACAAATATGCTTTAATGTTTATAAAAGAACTTTAGAAGTTTCTTGTTAAGTGCCATCGAGTCAGTTCCGACCCATAGTGGCCCTGAAGAGGGTTTCCGAGGTTGTAAATCTTTATGGGAGCAGAAAGCGACATCTTTCTCCCGCGGAACAGCTGGTAGTTTGGAACGCTGACCTTACAATTCACAGCCTGATTCATACTACCAGAGCTCTAGTATATAATAAAAAGTGTATTTTTAAAAAGGTGTTTGTTTCAGTGGTAAGTTTTTGAGGGGAAAATTTTTTCATTTGCTTTTCTTTCAATAGAAAGCAAGCTTGGCAGTATACTGGTGGTTGGTTGTGTGCTGGGGAGTCAACAACCCTATACAGAGTTTCCAAGGCTGTATAAGTCTTTATGGGAGAGAGAACCTTTTATTTCTAGCATAATGGTTATGAATCGGGCTGTGAGCCGCAAGGTCAGCAGTTCGAAACCACCAGCTGCTCCGTGGGAGAAAGATGAGGCGGTCTGCTTCCGTAAAGATTTACAGCCTTGTAAACCCTGTGTAGGGTCGCTATGAGTTGGAACTGATTCCATGGCACATGACAACAACATAGAGCAGTTGGTAGATTTGAATTGCTGATTTTACAGTTAGCAGCCCACTCACAACTCACTATGCTACCAGGGAGATTTATTACTCTGAAATTGTCCTAGTAGTAGTATTTTGAAGTTACAGATTCTGATTAGACTGATGCTCTGGCTTTAATTCCCAGTGTAATTCTATCAGTCTATGCTTTTGCCATTATTCATATAAGTAGGTTAAGTGCCATCCAGTCAGTTCTGACTCATAGCAACCCTGTATAGGGTTTCTGAAAAGTAGCTGGTGAGCTTGAACTACTAACAACCTTGTGGTTCAAACTGATCCTTCAGTCCAGTGGATTAACCCACAGTGCCAGACCAAGACACACACAGATACAAGACACTCAAAACACAAAATACAGCACACACACACATGCAGAACACATCTACACAGAATACAACACACAGAAGACAGGAACCAATGCCCCCCACCCCGCCCCAGGAGGACATAGCAGATAGTTTATGATTAATCATATTTTTTGTCCATACTTTCATACTTTTGTTTTTTGTGTATCTTGTATGTGTGGGGAGGGGTGGGGGAGAGTGGGAAAAACTGTTTCAATAGATTGTGAAGGGGAAATAAAAGTAAAACCATAATCCAATCACTGCTACCTGTGATGATTATCCTAGAAGGGTCAATGAATTTTATAGGTTAAACCTTGAACTGAAAGTTTGTTTTAAATATCTATAAATCCTCATATTTCATTAGGAGCCCTAATAACAAATGAACTGACTCCACAGCACATAACCACCACCAATAACAAATATAACCGAATTAATGGAAATAAATTAGCACAGATATAGGTCTTAAAAGTTTGCCATTAAAAAAAGATACCACTCTCTGAGTTTTAATTTGCCTTACTGTACTGATAGTTGTTACCCAAAACTACTACAAACCCACAATTTCTACATATTTTTTTTTTTTTTAAATGAACAACACTACAGGGTGAGTCCTGGTATGGTGTGCTGCGGATTAATGTGTTGGACTTGCAAGGTCGACCATTTAAGCTTACCAGCTGCTCCTCGGAAACCCTATACAGGGTTGCCATGAGTTGGACAACAGGAGGAGAGATTCTAGAAAGAATTTGAAAGTAGTAGGTGCTTTGCTTAAGATAATTTAGTGACCATTTAAAAAATTTCTAAATACCAGCTTTGAAATCTAAAGCATGATGGTACATTTTCCATGTATACCTCCTTCAGAATTATAGCAGTAGGCTGTGTAGTGTCCAGAGCCAAATCCTTTGCCATGGTGCATTACTACAGCAGATAAGTCATAGATAAAGCATTCTGGTCGGAGGGATTTCAGGGACTCCCTGCAGCAATAGGGCTCCATGTTTAAGATTTCCTCAAAGCCAACATGAACACCAATCTTCTCTCTGTTATTACGTCCTGACCACCTGTGAACAAACCAGGTTAAAATGATCAACAAAATCTTGGAAAACTACTCATGTACTGAAGGTCTACACTGCCATCTATTAGTCAAAGACCCTAAAGACTACAACATAAAATATCATATATAAAAAATAATGTAAAAAATGCAGATGGGTCTCTTGTGATACAATAGTGAATAATTGTTATCAGGACTGATTGTGAGGGTTAGAAATGTAAAGGTAGATGTTTTATAGCAAGGAAGGGAGTGATTAACTTTCCAGTCTAGGAGCAGAGGTCCCTAGGACCATCAATGGAGAAGAGCCGAGAGTGGGACCCTACCCAGAGAAGCAGTGATGCTTGAGATGGAGGTAGAGACAATGATGCGGAGCGATGGCACAGCTAGGGACTTTAGATCCAGAGAGGGAGAGTGACTATGTGCTGAAGACTTGGGGATTGGGTAGTATACAGGCTTGCAGGGTATACCCTTTGGTTGGTTAAAGATGCATGAAGGGAATTGTAACCACGGCAATGAAACGATATATGATAGAATGAATGTAAAACTAACGTTCTCTCATGTAAACGATCATATAATTCACAATAAATCATAAAAAAAAGGGGGGGGATTTAACACACACACAAAAAGTTCAGTCATACAATTTAATATCTATGTTAAAGAGAGATTGATCTTTTGGATTCTCTACATTGTGACTAGCCTTCTAAATAAAACAATGTTTGAAAACAATAATAATGTAAATATGGGGGCAGAGAAAGATGGTGGACTAGGCACAAAGGCTGTGCAGGCTCTCTATAGCAGGGATACAGGAAAATGGGCAAGGCAGATACAGAGGATGGTCCCGGAACTCTTCTCTAGAGGAACAGATAGAAAAGTGGATTGACTGCTTACTGGGAGACAGAGTTGAATAAACACAGCAAGAAATGAGATGACTGATGAGCAGTGGCAGCTGAGGAACCCAGTGACAGCCATCTTGAATGTTCATGAATACCTTTAGAAATGAGAAAGCATATTTATGTGGCAAAAACCTACCTGTACCTCTTCCTTTTTTCTGACCAGCATACAACCCCAGGGATTCTCCTGCTTTCCAGGCAATCACAGCCACTTGGAGGTTATAAGCCAAGGGAGGAGCTATATACAATAACTGCACTAAGGCAAGCTCAGATCCAAATCTGTAAAGTCAACCTGGCCAGCTCTAGACTGGCTCTGACTAGGAGAGGGGGTTGAATGCATGCCTGGGGTAGGAGGGGAAGGAAAGGAGGAGAGTGATCCATGTAGGCCCACCCTCTGGACAAAACATGGCCAGTATGAACTTTCTCAGGGGCTGTGAAAGCAAGAAGCCAGCAGGTGATAGAGCACACCACCTATTAGCAGAGAGAAAACCACCAACTTTTAGTTCCTATCCCCCACCTAACCACAGTGTGTGATTTTTTTTGTTCCTTTATTTTCCTTCTTTTTGCATCACACCACAGAAGACAGAAACGATGGCCATAGAGCCAAGCCATAGCTACACTCTAGAGCCCCACCATTTGGGCAAGAGCCAATACCAGATGCTATATACCAGAGCAGCATCTACAACCAACATCTGCTAAACATCAATCATTATGAATTGAACTGTACAAACAAACGTGCACTCCTAATCACACTCACCTGGAGGCAATTTTGGTGAGCACTTAAGAATATACCAACGTACATTCATCAAATTAATATGAATACAGCAACATCACAATGCCTAAAAAGCAAAAAAAATCTGCTCATGTGCAGAAGCAAGACAGATTAGCTCAAACAAACGACCAAGAAGAGTTAGAAAATGCTTTTAATGAAGCACTGGAACTACCTGAAAAAGAATTCAGGAGAATGATATTGAGGTACATCCAAATGTTCTACAAAAAGGTCGAGGAAAAAAGGGAAGAATTCAGAAAAGCGCTAAAGGAACAATCAAACAAAACAGATATAGTACTGCAGACAATACAAAACCTGCAAACAGGTACATACAGATGGTCAATACTAAAATGTGAAAAAAGGACGCCACACTAAAAAGGCAAAGGAGTAGAACTGATGCAATGGAAGCCAGAATTAGCAAGCTTGAAGATAAATCTCTCAATACTGCTAAGACAGAACAACAATCAGAAAAAAGAATGAAAAATCAGAAGAAAGTCTAAGATTCATGAGGGAGAACATGAAGAGGAATAACCTACGGGAGATTACAATTCAAAAACAAGAAGGGACAAAAAACAACAACAACATAGAAAAGATAGTCTAAGAGCTGCTGGAAGAAAATTTCCCTAGCCATCATAAAAGACAAAAAGATAAGCATTCAAGAAGCGGAACAAACCCTAGGCAGGATAGACAACAAAAGAAAATCACCAAGACATATCATAATCAAACTCCAAAATCAAAGATAAGGAGAGAATCCTGAAAGTTGCTAGGGAAAAACAAAATGTTACCTACAAACAAAACCCAGTAAGACTAAGCTCTGACTTCTCAGCAGAAAAAAATAATGTAAATATAAAATCCTTTCAATACTGAAGTTGGCTCCAGTGGAGGAATTTAGGCTTATACATGAACAGGACCAATGAAATTTACAAGGAAATATACTAGGCTTCTGTAGTTAAGATGATGACAGGAGTGAAGAATTGAACTTTTAGGAAACTATGGTACTCTGGGCATTTCCCCCTTTCTAATAGACAAAGAAGGAGCTCTGGTAGCATAGTGGTTACGAATCGGGCTGCAAGCGGCAAGATCAGCAGTTCGAAACTACCAGCAGTTCCACGGGAGAAAGAGGAGGCAGTCTGCTCCAGTAAAGATTTACAGCCTTGGAAACCCAGTACAGGGTCGCTATGAGTTGGAACCGACTCCACGGCACGTAACAACAACAATAGACAAAGAATCCAAAAGTTTTAAATGTCTTATTGTCTTATGACCCTGGAAGGTAGAATTTGTTCTTGAGAGGTATAATCTAGACCTTCATTGGTCAGATATGGAGGAGAGAAACAGGACACCTATTTTTCCTCAAAACATGTCAGAACAGTTCATACTAGGTAAAAACAGCAACTGGGATTCTTCTCTGTATATAAAGTCAGCACAATGCCCACTACTTACAGAACCAAAATGATGTACTATTATTTTCCTCAATATGCTAGGTCATATTTCCCATTAATGCATTGAAGCATGGCAGGTAATTATGTTTATCATATGTTATGAACTGTTGAGATAAATAGTATATGGTAGTTATTTCAAAAGATTTATAATCTAGCATGGAAGTGGTGGTGTTCAGAGACAAGATACAAAAATAGATAAAAATGTGAAATAGTATAAAAATTATGAAAACATGAAGTTCAGATTAGCAAGAGCAGGTAAAAGAAGAATATGAACTAGATTTATGAAGGAAAAAAATAGGAAAATGGTGAGTATTACAAATAGAATCTGCTAAAAAAAAAAAAAAAGGAGCTCTGGTAGTGTAGTGGTTACGAATCGGGCTGCGAACCTTAAGGTCAGTGGTTTGAAACTACCAGCCGCTCTGCGGGAGAAAGATGAGGCTTTCTACTCCTGTAAAGATTTACACCCTCGGAAACCCTGTACAGGGTCGCTATGGGTCAGAACCGACTCAACGGCACTTAACAACAACAACAACAAACTAGAAGTCATTCCAAATGCTCTTCCCCATGTTAAATGCATTAAAAACCTGCAGTGTACCTATAACTTTCCATATAATAACAGTCACTTACCAGAAGATACAACAATTTCATTTTACATGTCTTTAACATTATATTTTAAATTATGTTAAATGAAACATTTGTAGGCATCTAAGTAGAAAACCTTAAGGTCAGTGGTTCGAAACTACCAGCTGCTCCGCGGGAGAAAGATGAGGCTTTCTACTCCCGTAAGGATTTACACCCTCGGAAACCCTGTACAGGGTCGCTATGGGTCGGTACCGACTCAACGGCACTTAACAACAACAACAACAAGTAGAAAATATTGTCCTAGTGACTGACAGATTGGATACCCAATTTTTTATGCTGAAGGACAGAAATACAAGAAAAAGAGCAAGAACAAGATAACCCGAAACTCCCAATATTGATTCCCTTTGAAGAGATGATGGGACTCTTATGGGATTAGAAATGTTCTGTGTAGTCCTCAAAGGCTCCTGTGTGATTCTCCCTAATTCCATCCTCCCTTGCTCAGAGGTCGTCACTATCCTGAGTGTTGTATACAGCTTATCTTGCTTCATTTTATACTTTAAAAATTGATTGTTAAAATTATGTAAAAATATAAACACATTTGAATACATACATGAGAAAGATTAAGGAAATGTCAACAGAAAAAATCTGCCATTTCCATTAAAGCTGTAAAGCACAAGATGATACCACCAAAGAAGCCAACCTATGGTAATCCTCCTCTTCCCTCCATCCTCTTGTTGGAGGTCAAACAACACAAAAATGCCACTGAAAATATAAAAATAAACATCCTATCAGTAGCTTTCTTAACATTTATCTATGTAACCACAACAAGACCACACACAGATGAATACAAAAATTTGGATTGTTTCTCTAGTATTTGAGATTAAAATTATTCCTAATAACTATAATATCACCACCACTCATCAGTTTGTCAAAAATTAAATAAAAAATGAAAACTTCGATATCCTAGGCATTAGTGAGATGAAATGGACTGGTATTAGCCATCTTGAAGCTGACAGTTACATGTTTTCCTATGCTGGGAATGATGAATCAAAGAGGAACGGCATCACATTCATTAACAAAAAGATTATTTCAAGATCTATCTTGAATTACAATGCTGTTTGTGAAAAGATAATATCCATATGCCTACAAGGAAGACCAGTTAATACAACTATTATTCAAATTTACACACCAACCACTAAAGCCAATGATGATGAAATTGAAGAATTATAAAACTTTTAGTCTGAAATTGATCAAACATGCAATCACGATGTATTGATCATTACTGGTGATTGGAATGCAAAGGTTGGAAGCAAAGAGGAAGGATCAGTAGTCTGAGAATATGGCCTTGGTGATAGAAATTATGGTGGAGGTCACATGATAGAATTTTGCAAGACCAGTGACTTCTTCATTTTTTTAAACAACGTAATAGATGACTATACACATGAGCCTCACCAGATGGAATACACAAAAATGAAAGTGACTACATCTGTGGAAGGAGAGTGGAAAAACTCTGTATCATTAGTCAAAACAAGGCCAGGGACAGGCTGTGGAACAGACCATCAATTACTCATATGCAAGTTCAGGCTGAAGCTGAAGAAAATCTAAACAAGTCCACAAAAGCTTAAAATATGACCTTGAACATATCCCACCTGAATTAAGACATTTTCTAGAGAACAGATTTGATGCATTAAACACAAATGACCAAAGACCAGAAGTGTTGTGGGATGACATCAAGGACATCATACAGGAATAAAGCAAAAGGTCATCAAGAAGACAAGAAACAAGGAAAAGACAAAAACTGATGTCAGAAGAGACTCTGAAACTTACTCTCTAGCATAGAGATGCTAAAAGCAAATGGAAGAAATGAGGAGGTAAAAGAGCTGAATGGATAATTAAAAAGGACAGCATGAGAAGGCAAAATCAAATATTTTAATGAAGTGTGCAAAGACATGGGGGAGTAGTTAATCTTTCATTTCAGGAACAGATAATCCCAGGATCATTAAAAAGGAAGAGCATGAGTGGAGCGTGAGATCCTACCTAGAAGAGTTAACAACAGTGGAGACGGTGGTCCAGGCAATCATGAGGAAAGATAGAGCAGCTGTGGGCCCTAGGCCCATGGACTGAGTTAAGTTGTATGCCTACAGGCGGAGGCTGCCTTGCTCTTAGCACATTTAAGTGAATATATTCTTTGTTTTTTATGTATACATCAAATATTTTTGTTTTATTCATTTGTGAAATATATGATATAAAAGGGAAGCCACAGGGAGGCAGTAGGATAACTGTTTTTGCAGGGAAAGTATTGTAAACATCAAGATGAAACAAGGCATCTAATTTGTTAAATGTAAAACTGATAATCTTATCTTTTAACCTTAAGTCAAGTCACAATTAAAAAAAAAAAAAGTGTATAGACCTAGATAGTATATATATATCTATGTCAACAAACAACAGTTTGATATTTTGACTTTTTGTTTAATAGAGGTTTCTATTACATTTGTAGCAATACTTTTTGACATCCTCATATGTAAACGATACCTACTGTATTTGTAAAAAAAACAAACCAAATCAACAACAACAAAAAAAACCCACCTAGCCACAACTGGTGGTTGTAAGAGAAATATAGTTTCAACAGTTTTCAAATGTTACTACACTAAGTAACTTTCTCAGTGGGTTTTATAAAGGTCAACATCTTATACACTAATCCCCTCAGGTGTAAACATGGCTAACATATGGTATGAAACCATACACTTTGATTAACCAACAGATTTTCCAAGTAATTCATCTGATTAAATATATTCCAGAAGGCTAGTAGAGTCTGTTTTTTTTAAAAAACTATTTTAAATTGAATACCTTTGAGTAAATATTTTCTAAGTGCAGTGCAATTAACTTAAATACTCAAAGTTATAAATGAAGTTAAAAAAAATTACACCTAAAATAAGCTGACTAGTAAATTTACAAAGATTAAAAATATTATACAGAGGTTAAAAAAAAAAAAAAAATAGAGGTCTTCCAATAAGCATGGTATTATCCTACAAAGGAAGTCGATTAGAAGGTTTGCTATTGAATATAGTATCTGTTGGTCAAAAAAAAAAAAAAATCCAGAATTTACTTTATATACATCAACTCCTAAATTTTGAAGAACTATAAATACAGGGAATGATTGCATTAGAAGTGACTTTATTGGCAGGCAACTGTTAATACTACTAACCTGAATCGTTTGAGGTGTAGTCTGAGAATTTGAGGTAGGTGGCATATCATAAGCTGTTTCTGGGCCTCTGTGAGTACAACTGGTTTTGAGGAAAACTTTCTACGCTTTGCTGTAATATCAAAGAGTGAGAATTAAATTTAATCTGAGGATACAAGGAAAAGCTGGGCAAACTTTTAAATTAATTCATAACATCTATTTTTTAATAGGAATCCTGGTGTGGTGCTGTGGGTTAATGCGCAAGACGGCAAAGTTGGTTTCAACCGCAAGATTGGCGGTTCAAGCTCACCAGCCATTCTTCAGAAACCCTATACAGGGTCACTATGGGTTGGAACTGACTCGACAGCACTTTAACAACAATTTTGTAATAGGCATTGCACTGTACTAGAAATAAAGATACATATGTGATAGATTTTACCATTGAGAAACTTATGCTTTAATTGAGGAAGGCGCACAATATAATAGTAATACTGTCAATGAAGCAACAAGATGAAGTATAATATTACTATAATATTAAAAATTGGATTTGGTTGTGCCAGTTAATAGGAAAAGGCTATTTTATAATTAATATATTTTAAGTATTCTCTTAAACCTCTTTGTTAAAAATAGCTCATTTACTGAAGATAATCAGGATCTGAAGGGGTATTGGTCCTTACTCCCCAGCCAGTGGCTCAAGAGAACAAACCTTTGCCAACTTTATCTGAGACCTCCCTCACTCAAATGGCTCACTTTTTGCTCTTTCAGCATCAGCTCTTAGGCAAGTGGTACTCTGGCATTCTTCCTGTTTTATCTCCACGGTTTCTCTGGATATCCACCTATAAATCGGGTTCTACAGCTACGGCTGGATCATTGACTGCCAAAGCTGTTCTTAATGCCCAGATCTTCCTTCAAACTTGTATACATGGAGTCCCCAGGTTACACATGAAATCTGTTCCTAAGTGTGCCTTTTTGTTTTGTTTAAAAAACACACAAAACCTTTTTAATTGTGATCTGGGTGAAAGTTTACAGAGCAGATTGGTTTTTCCATTCAACAATCTACACACATTTTGTTTCATGGCACTTATTGGAATTCCCACAATGTAACAACATCTAAGTACGTCTTTAAGTTGAATTCGTAGGTAAGGCAGGACCAAGGTGCACGTGGTTCTTACTTAGCCATATTTTAGTGTAAGAAAAGGCTGAAAACCTTTTCACTTGTACAGCTGCACATGCAATAAGTGAAGGTGACTATGATGAAGAATATGTTGTGAGTAGGGGCTGGTTCAATCATTTCACAGAAGAACAAATTTACATAACATTAAAGGGCCAATCTGGTGTGGTGCTGCCAGTTAATGTGGTAAACTGCAAAGTCAATTTGGGTCATAAAGGCCGGCAGTTCCAACTCACCAGCTGCTCCTCAGAAACCCTGTACAGGGACTCTGTGCAGGGTAGCTATGAGTTGGATCCTGACTCGACGGCACTTAGCAACAACAACAACAAGGGGCAAAATATAAGTTGTGCATAAAATGAACATTTGTAACCCTGAAGTTACTGCACCTGCTGTGACTCCCCTCACAGCAGAAGCTGCTTCTTATGTGTGAGGTAGAATCAGTCCACAATGAGGCTCTCCTCTTAGAAACTTCTCCCTCCTCTCCAGGTGGATATCCCTGAGGTGCAAGTATCCAGCTGTTGCTAAATGTCCTACACCCACTTCTGGATGGCCGCCTGAAATACATGGTTCCAGTACACTAGACTGGGGGATGTTAACTCCTTGACAGAATCTTAAACTTTCACCTTTCTTTATTAAAACAACTCCCTTAGGTCTGTATTTGGTGGGCCCAGTAGAAGTGTTATAAGCTTCTTATAAAAAAGAAGAAGCTTATGCATTCATAACATCTTTCTATTTCCAAATTTGGGAATGGAAGCATCTAAGACATACATATTTTTGTCTGAAAGATAGTGCTTCACAATAACAAACGACTCATATTTTTGATTTATCACTAACACCTTATAATTTTAAGGCTATTTAAAATCAAGTTCCTACTTGAAAGCACTCAGAGAAAAAAAACTAAGATGTTTTAGAAAAGTATCAGGTGATGTGACATTTTTTTTCAATGCTGGTACACCCAATGTGTCTGTACTACTTTAAGTTTTGTGGGTTTTTTTTTTTTTTTAAAACTCTATTAACATTTTTTTGAGACACAGAAATTAGGAAGAAAACCTGAAAGTGTTTATATTATAAACAGTAAACTGAGCCCTATAGGATAAGCACTGGACTGGTAACCACAAAGTGCAGTTCAAACCCACCAGCCACTCTCAGAAACCTACACAGGGGTCACTAAGTCAGAACAGACTTGATGGCACATAACAACAACAACAAAAGCCTAATATACCACATGCACATTGATGGGGGACATAAAAGCACCGAATAAAGACACAACAGAGCTGATACTGTTTTATACACCTATTTCCCTGGAGGAAGATGCTGCTCTTTAATTGAGGTAGCTATTTTCATCCCCAAAGTTTGTTTCCTGTGCTCATCTCTATCAGAAGACTTAGCATAGTGAATTCTAATTGTCCATCTGTGTGTCCACCACAAAGAATGTTGAGTACTTTGAAAGCAGGGGCATTGTCCTACCTCTATCCATTGAAACTAGAACAATGACTAACACAGAAGAGATAGCAGTTTTGTTTTGTTTTTTATTAAAAAAGAGAATAGATCCTTGTTTCTATGAAGCCATTTCTACTGCAGTAGTCCAGTCATACACATTTTCTATGATACATGTATGGTGTTGATAGGTGCTGCTGACTTTTTAATGATAGCACTCAATGAGACAGAAAGCAGCCCCATCAGGCTTTCTAAGCTGCAGTCTTTATAGGAGAGGCGCCCTGGTGTGCAGTGATTTAGCTGCTAGACAAAAGGTCAAACACATCAGTCAAAAAACGGTGTCAGTCTGCTTCTGTAATGATGATGGCCTCGGGAACCTTATGGGGTTTCCTACTCTGTCCTATATGGTAGCTATGACTCAGAACTGACTTGACAGCAATGGGTTTTGTAGGTTTGCTTTAGAATCTTTACAGGAGCAGATGACCAGGTCTTTTCTCCTGCATAGCCACGGGGTGGGTTCAAACCACAAATGTTTCAGTTAGTAGTTGAGTGCTTAATCAATGTACCATCAGAGATGTATATGCAGATGCATGTGTGCATGTATACACTCATACATATGTACATTATTTATATTTATATATAATGTTCTGTTTGATATGTAGAAAACATTCTTAAAGCAAACATTTCATTCAGTGCTGTAGGACATTTTCCTTTTGCTACTTTATTCCCTTGTCTCCACAATTGATTATAGAAACAAAGATAATTAAATGTCATCAATAAATACGTTATCCATAAACGCCAATTATAAACTAGTAGTGTCTAGGCCAACTTCTTTTGATGAACTAAAACCCTTTTTTAAGATATTTAAAAAATGCTACTTAAGGAATTTCTCCCAGCTTCCTCTCATATGTTTGTCTTTGCAAATCTTAGAAAGGCATGAAGAACATACTGTCTCTACTCACAGTTACACTGGTCACATATGTAGATTTTTCCTTCTAGAGCTTCAGTTTCTGTGAATTTGGCCAACATTTCAGTAACCAGACATGGCTGAGAAGTAGTATCTTTTCCACTGCATTGATATCTCTCTGGAAATTCCAATGACAGGTCCCAGAAAGGTTCTATGGTATTTGATTTATTGTCACATGCAAGACATGTAACCTGCAAATACAAATATTAGTATGTTACTAAGTAATATTTATGTAATGTTTATGAAAAGACAACAATGAATCTGTAAAATACCTCATAACATGGGTGAACCTGGATGAAATTATTCTGAGTGAAATTAATCAGTTACAAAAGGACAAATATTACATGAGTCCACACTATAAAAAGTCAAGAGATGGTTTTCATAGAAAAAGAAACAATCTTTGATGGTTATCAGAGTGAGAGAGGAAGGGAGAGTAAATCACTAACTAGAGGGTAGACACATATTAACTTGGGTAAGGGAAAGGTAATATACAATAAACAGAGGTCAGCAAAAAGTAATCAGGCCAAGCTAAGCCCTACAATGTTCAGTGGGCTTCGGTGGACCCAGTTGGGGACCTGGTTGGCAAGCAGTGTGAAGAGGCCCGGGGACTCTTGGGCCCAGAGTCAGTGGCGTGGCCATGGAGAACTCGAGAGGAGAGTGGAACTACCGGCTAACGGGAAGAGAGGACATATGCACAGGAGTGCCCACAGGTGATACCCATGTGACCTGGACCAGATGACTGGATGATCAGAGCTCAACCAGGAGAGGAAAGAAGGGGGGGTGGGGGTGGGGAGAGTGAGCTGATACAGTCCTCACAGCAACAAACATTCACACACACCCCCACACACAGAGTGGACGGAGAAGGGCAGCTTGGACATTGGATACTCAAATGGGGAGGGGAGGACTACAAAGGCAAGAAGTGACTGGCTTACAAGCTTTCAAGAGGGAACCTAGTGCTAGGGAGCATGGCGGAAGGCAGAATCTCCAGTAGGTACTATTTAATCTGTCTGGGCGGTTGATGAAAAGAGATACAGATGGGTAACTCGTGATACTGTAGTGAATAATGCTTATCAGGATGGACTATGAGGGTTGGAAATGCAAAGGCAGAAGTTTTGTAACAAGGAAGGGAGTGATTAATTCTCTCAGATAGGAGCGGAGGCCTCTGGGACCATCAACGGAGAAGCGCCAAGAGTGGGACCCTACCCAGAGAAACAGAGATGCCTGAGATAAGAGATAGAGATGATGACGTGGTGTGATAAAGTGACTGGGTACTTTGGACCCAGAGAGGGAAAAGGATTGTGGGCCGAAAACTGGGGGGAGGTGGGGGAAGAGTAGGAGGTGGGTTTCTGGGATATACCCTTTGGGTGGTTGATGATGCATGCAGGGGATTGGAACCATGGCAATGAGATGATATACGATGGAATGAATGTAAAACTAAAGTTCTCCCATGTAAACTATCATATAATTCACAATAAAACATTAAAAAAAAATAGTAATCAGGCAAAGAAAGGCACTGAGAGAAGTACAAGAGTTAAAAGCAACAGAGGTCAATAAATACTGTTACACACACAAATCTGTAATAACAGTAATAACAATCATCTATAAATGGATACATAGACACAAAAGCTGAACAGGTATTGTTGAGTCAATTCCAACTCATATCAACCCTGTATAGAGTTTCCGAAGTGAAGCAGGTGGGTCCACGATTACATCCTATGAACTAGGACACTGTGATTTGGATGTTGTGAGACCAGCATATGAAAACCTCATGGGAGCCCACTCCAGTAAGTTCTCATTACCTCTGCTGCTGGGGTGGCTGCTACTGGGGCTACAGCGGTGGTGGGTGTTGGGGTCAGAGAGCAGAGTGCCTAGCTCTGCCTGCTGTACTGTCCATCTGAGCAGCAGGAGCAGCCTGGGCCCCATAGAGGACCCCTTCCCACTGCTGCCATCACTTCCCTGCTGAACAAAGCCCCAAATCCTGTACCCAACAGCTATGTCCTCTGCCTCACCTTCCTGTATCCCACCTGTGGTACAGTGCTGCAACAGACTGGGTTTGGGATCTTTAAAACTATTGTTGCTGCTTTGTGCTGTCGATTCTGACTCACAGGGGTTCGAACTACCGACTCTGTCGTTACCACTCCAGTGCTTATCCTATAGTGCCACACCAGGGAAAGATACTTTCCCTTTAAAACAAACAAAAACTTTACGGTACCACAAATGTATATGTGATTGGAAATTGTCTGAATGGACGTTAAGGGACACATACCTGTATTTTCTCCCTAATTGTGTGGAGAGTTGTATATACCAAAATAGTAATGGGTTTTTCTATGGATTATGGGGTTATGGGACTAAGGGATAATTTTTCTTTCCTTCTGTATAGATTTTCTGTGGTATATATGTCTTCTACAAGTTCTACTTTTATTTATAATAGTGCATTTCAAACTTTTGCATAGAGTGAAAATAAAAAATAATACAAAAATCTGTGGAAAAATAAAATTGCAGTAACACAAAAAGCTATAATACTTAATAAAGCTTTCAGACCTTTCCCCCTTTGGCTTTACAGGAAGTTTTCCAGGGCTACTTCCTGGTCCTTGAAATGACTGAAATGTGTACTATATCTATTCCAAGTGTATCTTCAAATCTGTTCCCTCGGAGATTAAACCTGCCTCTTCTCAACCCACCTTAAAAAATACCACTAATCTAGAAAGCTGTTTTACGAACTTCCCTCTCCCGCAAAAAAAAATGTTTCATGAAGGAAGGACACAATTATAAATCTATTAGCTAAGTCCTTTACACACATTTATAAAAATAATCTGTTTAACCTAAAAACAGTATTAGCTCTAACATACTAGAAGTACAGAAAATATGCGTTTTAAAAGCTTCACTTTGTAAATTACCAAAGATGAAAATAATAAAAAAATTTAAACTTCATACCTGACTAAGAAGTTGTCCAAGAAATATGTTATTCACAACATTCAGAACCTGTTTAATAAGTTTCTTTTGAGAAGTAGGGATAAGAGCTGGGAACCTGGTACCAGTTGTCTCTAGTTCATGTTGAATTTTGTCCAAAAGTTCACAAAGAAATTCCTGAGCATCTTGTTGGGCATAACCCCGAAAGGCAGGGATCAGTCTCCACACTGAGTGCAGCATAGCAAATGGTGAGACCAAGGCCCACCTTCCAGACCACATGACTTGAAACAATGTATGCAATTCGTGACAAAGAGAAATGTATTGTGAACTGGGTTCCCTTGACTGAATAAGTTCCATATTCCTACTTTTTGATGCTCCACCACTTAATCCTGATGACAAACTTGGGTGTCTGGAGCGAACAGAGCCTGCAGGTTTTTCTTGGCGTTCATTTATTTGAAACACAGTACCTGTGACTGGTGGATGCTTGTAAGAAGCTCTTGTCTTATCACTAGTAGTCACAGCTAGCCACTGGTTCAGATCAAGTTTTAAAAAACACTGTCGAAAAATAAGTAAATGACTCAAAACTTGGAGAACAGAATTCATATAGCAAGTATTCCCCAAATTTCTCAGTCCTGTTACCCCAGGAGTTACTATTGGCCTTCGTGTAACTGAGGAGTCACTTACATTTCTAAATCTTACAAATTCTGAGGTAGATACAACTTTCTCCTTTGCTGGTGATGGTGGTGTTCGAGGCAGTCCTTGAACAGGAATGATTTCTACTGCGGTGTACTGAGTTAGACCTTGCAAACGTAAACTCTTTCGTGGAGGCATACTTTCCAATTCTGTTTTAATTTGATGCTCTGGTACTTGCCGTCTTTTCTTCACTTCTTGTTTTGCTGCTATTTCTCCCTGAAATTGATCTTCTTGCCTTTTTCTTCCAATGGGTGATTGTGCAAACCAAATACGAAAGGTTTTACTCATTAGCATCTTTCTCCTGTGCCAAAGAGCAGTACACATTTGATCTTCGTTTTGAAGCAGCAATTGGGCATCATCATGTAAGAAATACGAATCATCATTTGTACCCACAGACCGTAAATTTCTTCCACTACGAGTGCTGCAGTGATAAGTCTGACTTTTGATTGCACTTAATGTACTTCGCAGTAATTTCAGGTCTCCAGCTGAATTATCATTAAGAACATAATCATCACAAAAGTAACAAAAAACATACATCTCATTCACCTCCAATGCAACAGGATGTTTGCTATCTTGAAAGTGCTTGAGCGCATGCTCTTCAATGTATCTTCCACAGGCAACATGGGAACAGCTAAGGCAAGCCCAAATTGATTCAGTTGTATTGCAGTCCACACAATGCCATTTCTGAGGATTAAGTATGGAATGGTCTTGAGCAAGCTGCAACTGCCCAATGTGTTTGCACTTATCCATTGTTAACACTTATTTAGTCTAGATGAGAAATACATAATCCAAACAAATCTCTGTTCACAACACTTGAAGCATCTGGAAACTAAGCAGAACAGTGTCAATTTTTAATAACATGAAAACAAGAAGTCAATGTTTACCTGTCTTATACTTTCCAAAGAATAATGTAATCAACTTGCTCTTCTGATCCCAATCTCTTGAGCTATTTGCCAAACAACCATAAGCAATCTCCACCTTTCCCTGAGTTGAGACTTCCAGCTTATACAGAGTTGATTCCGACTCACAGCAACCCTGTATAAGGTTTCCAAGGAGTGGTTGGTGGGCTTGAACCAACAACTTTGGAGTTAGTTGTTATTGTTGTTAAATGTCGTCAAGTCAATGCCGATAGTAGCCCTGATGGGTCCTCTTTAGAAACTTTGATTATAATTTTGTGACACCATCTGGTGGTGAAGAATGGCTAGTGGCAGACCATTTTTTCCTCTATAAGAATAAAGAATGAAGAAGTCCATATCCGACACAGCAAATGAAAAATAGTAGCTGTAACAACAGGAATCCTGGTGTGGAACTATAGGATCGGCACTGGACTGCAAACCACAAGGCTGGCAGTTCAAACCCTCCAACTGCGCCTCAGAAACCCTATACAGGGTCACTGTGAGTCGGAATGGATTTGAGAGCACTTAGCGTAGTGATTACGAAGCGGGCTGCGAACTTTAAGGTCAGCGGTTCGAAACTACCAGCCGCTCCGCGGGAGAAAGATGAGGCTTTCTACTCCCGTAAAGATTTACACCCTCGGAAATCCTGTACAGGGTCACTATGGGTCGGAACGGACTCGACGGCACTTAACAACAACAACAACAAGTAATAACAACAACAACAACATAATAGCTCTATCTGAATAATTATGTTACCTTAATCAGGCTGCTAATCTCACGGTCAGCAGTTTGAAACTACCAGCTGTTCCGCGGGAGAAAGATGAAGCTTTCTGCTCCTATAAAGATTCACAGCCTCGGAAACCCTATGCAGGATCACTATGAGTCGGAACCGACTCCATGGCATATAACAACAATTATCATTAAACTGGACTTTCCATTTAGTAAATCAATGTTGCTGTTAAGCGCCGTTGAGATGGTTCCAACTCACAGAGGCCCTATATAGGGTATCTGAAGAGCGGCTGGTGGGTTTGAACTGCCAACCTTGGGGTAAACAGTCCAGTGCTTATCCTACAGTACCACACCAGGACTTCAAAATTAATGTTAATTCATGCCTCTGACTTGACAGGCTTGGCTATTTGCCTTAGGAAAAGAAAAGGGCAGAAGAGAAAAGAATGTGCCTGATTTGTACAAATTTTTAGGAATGTGCAAGGATGTGTAGCTAGAATAAGTAGTTGACAACATAAGGAAGGAACTGTTACATTTTGTTGTTGTGAAGTACTGTTGAGTCAGTTCTGACTCATAGCAACCCTGTATAGGGTTTCCAAGGAGCAGCTGGTGGGTTTGAACTACTGACCTACGGTTAGCAGTCCAGTGCTTATCCTACAGCACCACACCAGGACTCCTCAATATTACCTGAAATTGTAAACTTAATCTTAAAAAAAAAAAAAAAAATCTAGCTTATTTTGATCCTGAACTTGCTCCTTTATCCGTTAAGTCAGGAACAATTCTGTTTCAAGTACATAAAAATAGTGAATAGAAATCTAGTTACAATTAGTGACCATAAACATTAACCTCAATGATTTAACAAAAACCCAACACAAATTTTCAGGTTGTGGGGGGTATATCTAGTTGGAGAACAAGAACATTGTATATAGCATAAATAATGCTTTTACATTTTTAGGGCAGAAAGATAATATGATTTTCAATGGAACCTGCAGGGACAACCTTCAGATCACCTTCAGGACTCTAAGAAAACTGCAAAAGTAAATTTATTTTTGGTTCTTCACTGTTCTCTTTGTAAAATATCCCAGCTCTCAAGAGTCTCTTATTCCTTTAACTTTTATTAGATATTGTTGTTGCTAAGTGCCTTTGAGTCTGAAGCGACTCATAGCAACCATGTATAGGGTTTCTGAGGAAGCAACCATGTATAGGGTTTCTGAGGAGCTGCTTGTGAGTTTGAACCAACCTTGTGATCCAGGGCTTATCCTACAGCACTACACCAGGACTCCATTACTGGGTATCCTAAATATGGGCTAAAGAATGACCAGTCCCAACCCTCAACATGTGTACACATTTCAAGTGCATGGTTTAAATTCACTTCTCTTGCCTCAAAATTCCCTGAAATCTAAAACCTGCCCAAATATGAGGGGGCTTCAAAATGTTCATGCAAAAATGGAATGAAAAGATAATAGAAATTTCCCTAAAACTTTCTGAAGTCCCCCTTTTAAGTGTTTAATTAAAACTGCTAGAACAACAGTAGTTTGCTAATGGCAAAAATTGAGACATCAGTGATTAATATACTGCCTTAATCTATATCCTTCCAGGTATTCAAGCCAAAAACCTTGGAGTCATCTTTGACTCTTCTTTCTCTCACTCTCTCTACACTAATCCTCCAAGAGAATCTGTTGATTCTACCTTCAAAGTATATCTAGAATCCAATTACTTTTTATTACCTCTACTGCTATCACCTTAGTCCAATTCACTGTCAATTCTCACCTGGATTACTATGAAAAGCCTCCGAAGTGGTTTTCCCCTCTCCTTATCGCCACCAAAAGTTTCCTCCCAACACAGGAGCAGCAGTTCACTGTTAGACCTTGGCCTGGCACTTTAGGAGGCCACTGCTCTGACCCTCCTTTATTAATAAAGACTTCCAAGGGTCAAGGGGAAGTGGAGCCTACACTATTCCTTATCCACCTCTATTACCCCTCACCCACATCTAGACCCACTCTATGACTGCTAAGACAGAATTCCCTACCCAGTCATCTAAGTTGGCTTCTCTCTAGGTCATATAGACAAAGAAAAGGCACTGAAAAATTCTGTAGAGAATGACACGATGAGATTTATAGGATGAGGATATGAATAGCAAATAGATCTGCTGAAGGGATGGATGAAAGATTCTACTAGCCCAAAGACTGTAAAGAAATTAAAGCTGTAGCAGTCTTGAGAGAAAGAAAGGAACTGAGGTAGAATTTGTGCTTAACAAGCGTTTGTTGAAAGAATGCATTCCATTTCAAGGTTATGGGAAAAGTCTAGAGCTCTCTTCTACTTTTATTCAAAATGGACCATAAATAGAAAATTTAAACATGTTTCTGGAAAATCAGACACAAGCCATTAATTTCAACTTCCTTGCAGAGATTATTGATGAGAAAAATGCCATTTACTTACACTCAAGAAAAATCACATCATTCTAAAGCTTTGGTGTGGCGCTGTAGGATAAGCACTGGATGGATAACCACAGGTTGGATGTTCAAACTCACCAGCAGCTCCTTGGAAACCCTATCCAAAGTTGCTATGAGTCAGAATTCACTCGAAGGCACTTAACAACAATGAGTTGATAACCTTACATACAACATTTTAAAAAAATGAGGCTCAACAAAAAAAGGAGAAGAAAATAAAGAAAGCTTGGTGAAAATACAGAAATTATTGTATCTTTAAAAATTAATCTACACTTTCAGTGTTACATATGTGCAAAATTATACACTACCTCTTTAGTCCCTTCTCTGTTTTATAAATTCATTACCTTGGTTAGAAAGAATTTATCGATTTCATTGCAGTTCTTACTAAAAATAATGTTTCATTGATGGTAGGGGCCTTCAAACTTTAACAAGAACATCTATTACTGAACAGCATGATTCTATTTCATACAATATTGTGAAAAGAGTGAAGGCTGATCAGATGCCTCTCTGTGTGGTTTTGTAAGGTGTTACAGTAAATCGTTAAAGAGCACACCCAAATGCCTGAACTTAAAACCTGACTGCATTTACCATGTGACCAGAGACCAGTTATTTATGCTGCAGTTACTTCCGTTTTCTTATCTGAGAAACATAAATGTATATGAGGGGGCTTCAAAAAGTTCATGGAATAATTCCACTCTTTGAAGTACCATCATATACCAATAATACAATCATCAAGATCATAGGGTTACTTTACACTTGTAAGCATTTAGAAAAATTCTTGCCACTCAGTACTATGACTCTTGGTATATTTTAGCTGCTAATATTGCCAGTTTACTTTTGGCCTGGAGTCTTGGTGTGGCATGTAGGAGACGCACTGGAATACTAAGTCCAAGATTGGTCGTTCAAACCTACAAGAGGCTTCTTGGAAACCCTATACAGAGATGCTATGAGTGGAAAACAACTCCAAGGCACTTAACAACATCTTGCTTCTCAGCTACAAGTGTACTAAATTTGACTCAGGTGCTAAGTGATAATCAAGATGTTTGCTAAGAACTAAGGTGTGACTTTTCCCAGGGTGAACTGCATTTTAAAAGGGGGTCTTCTAAGATAAAATCTTTCAAAAATCCAAAGTGAAAACAGAATGGTATAATGAAAGATCATGAGAATAATATTTTAGGATAGGGGCCCACTTACTCTACTTTGGCACACATGCACTCAAATACTCCACCCCTGACAATGATGTTCAGAGAATAAAGTGTGAAACGCCATAGAGCAAAGGGAAGGGAGGAAAGCAGGAGTTAAGAGAGCTAGCCTGCTGTTGCTTGCAGGCTATAAGAGATCTTCAATGTGCTCCACAGCCCGGAGAACAAAGCAGAAGAGCCACTCTCTGGTATCCAGAGAGGCCTCATCACACAAAGAAAAGAAAGGGGGATGGGAGTACTTTCTTGACATTTCCTATTTTCTTCTACTGGGTTCTGAGCACTTCTTTTCATTTGTTAATCCACTGCTGAGAAGCTGCATATTAACTCTGTTTGGCTCCAGAAGAGTGGGTACCTGATTTTTAGCAATGTAAAGGCACTCCAGTAGCTTGTTGTTGTTAAGTGCCTTCGAGTCGGTTCTGACCCATAGCGACCCTGTACAGGGTTTCCGAGGCTGTAAATCTTTACGGGAGCAGAAACCCTCATCTTTCTCCCGCGGAGCAGCTGGCAGTTTCGAACCGCTGACCTTAAAGGTTTGCAGCCCGATTCGTAACCACT